GGCCAGTGCGTGTCTGAGGAGCACCAGGGCATCTTCCACTCCGTCAACCTCATAGACACCGTATACCAGGAGGAAAAAGTAAGCGCGGCGCTTCCCTGCATGCCAGAGGTTTGGCTGGGAGGGCGGGCTGTCCCACAGGAGACCCCAGCGGGCCTGGGGTGCTTTCAGTGAGAAAAGTAATGGGGTGGGCAGGCGAGAGGCAGCGAGGGAGTGTGCTGCTTCGAACCAGGAGTCAGGATTTGTTTGTGGACTACCGGGGTGTACCTTCCCCTGCTGCTGTCAGACTTCATCCATCACATACAAGGGGCCAGGTGATATTACAGTATCAACAGATCTGAACCCAGCTTACTAAAGTACTTGAAGAGCTGGGAGGTTTTTTTGTTTAGTTTTGCTCTGTTTTAATATAGGGAATTGCAGCCTTTGCTGAAGAAGCACACTAGTGCTAAGAGTTTATTGCATGTCTGGATCCAGTTTTTCCAAGTTCAGGAAGGTGCCAGTCTTACTAACAAAAAAAATCCACCCACAGATACTTTGTTTATAAGCTCTCTGAGCTGGCATAGGTAATTTGGGCTATAGGTAATTGCATATTTAGAAATAGATGGTTTAAGTAGGTGATAATTTAATGAATCCCATTTGCATGAAGAAAGTAACTGCCTGGCCCAATGGCTGGTTGTAGGGGTAGTAGTTGTCATTTTTGCCAAAATAGCTACCATATGGGTAGAATGAGGTTTTCATGCCTATGCAAATTTGGTGCAGGATAGCATGTCATAGAGCACTTCTGCTGTGCAGTAATTGAAACAACTGCAGGGCAGTGATGAAGAGTATAGGTATAAAAGTTGAAGTACAGCACTGAGTATTCTTTAAACCAGAAGTGAATGGGTTTCTATGTGAAATTTAGTGATAATATAGTGAGATAAAGGAGGAAAAAACAGTGATAATCTTAGTTTAAAACCAAACAGAAATAACTTGGTTGTGCATAGCTTTCTATTTTATCACTGTGAGGCATTAAAAAAAAAACAAACAAACAACACACAGTTGCTTGTTAAACTGGAATAACAGCATTAAAACTTACATTGTGATAGATGTGTGTGTGAGGGGAGAGGTTAAAAAAGGCTGAAGGAAACAATGGTTTAACTATAAAGTAACCCCATAGCCATTCTAGCACTATGCATTGTAGGACAGCCTAAAAATATTACATTGAGAGAGAGAAATGTCAAAAGAAAGTTTGTGCACTGATCCAGAAAAGCATTAAATGTTACAAAGCAATGTTTTGAATAGCAACCTTTGCTTAATACATTGTACAGTGCATCCCATAATGTGATTCTAGATAACCACTAAAATGTATTTATTTTATGGAGTGGATAAAGTTGTAATAGTGTTTCAATTGTCTTGCAGTTAGCCTTCTTCAGCAGCCTGAAAAAAATGAGAATAATAAATGAGAAGCTGACGAATGAAATCTCAGGTCAACCAAAGGATACAGATGTGAGTTACAGATGCCAGCTAAATTATATATATATACACATGTGTGTATATATGCATATATATATGTGTGTCTTTGTTTCTCTACTCATGATAGGTTAATCACAGCATGGAGCATACTGATGCTGCTTGTGGCATAGATGTGCTCTGAGCTTCCTTAGGGAAGTGAGTGCATGCAGACTTTGCTACTGCGTTTTCATCTGTTTTTATGTTCTTGTGCTTCTATAGATGGTGCTGAACAATGATGCAGAGCTAATTGCACTGGAATTTGGAGAAATTTTCAAAATTCTGGAAATGAAGAAACGGCAATTGCTAGAAGATGTTGAAAATCAAAGAAGTAAAAAAGAGAAAGAATTTCAGATTTGGAAGAAAATGAAGGAAACTCACAAGAAGACCATTGAGAATTTTTTGAAGGATTGTGAAAAGCTTGTCCATGAATGTGATCCTCAGCATTTCCTGGAGGTGATGGCCATTTTGTTATAGTTTCCTATCAGTTGTATAATGAACCTCTAATGTCATACACAGCCTGCTATATTGTAGAATATGAATATGATAATAACTGTATCAGGAAAAACAAATTCAACAAACATAATGCAGACTAAAATTATTTCACACTTCATACTTGTTTATAACATTGCTTTTCATTTTAGAAAAGTTTGAAAAGCTTTCTTTGCAACTTATTAGTGATATTTAGTGAATTCAGTAGACACAATTTCATTAATTTTCAGTGAAGAAAATAATGTTGACTGTATAGCTGTTGCTGTAACACTTGCTGTATTATGCTACTAGCGGTGAGAGTAAGCTGCCTTGGTGCTGGGTAGGGAGTTATTTATTAGCACTGCCTTCAGAATCATCTCATATTTATTTGCTTTTTCATATTAATTTTCAAATGCTTTGTGTATTAAGCACTTCCATTGCATTTTTAAACTTGTAAGGCATGAAAAATGCTCTTTGGGGAGAGACTGGAGCCAGAACCAATAACTTGTCTGTGCTGCACAGCAGAGTACTGTGTTGGGATACCTGAGCTAAGGTGATTATACTGGTTTTAAAACCTGCTGTAAACTTTGCACCAGGATGTGCAATGGAGATGAATCCACCCATTCAAGGCTAGCTTAGGTGCTTCTAACATACGCTGTACTTTGTAGTATATACACTTCTGTGTACAAGACCCTGAAAGTCTTCCTTATAGTGTTTTTCTCTGCAGTTCCCTTAAACACTGTTTCTGATTTAGAGATAAATGTTAGAGGAACCTTAATCTTCACTGTTACCTAAGCTACTGTAGACCTTTTCATCTCGTTTGTGTTGAAACACTGTGGCTGCAGCTGTATGGAATTTAGGCAGATGATAAATGTGGGGCAAAGTACTTAACTACTGGATTTTGTGTTTTCTTCAACTTCAAGGCTTATGCTTTCCTGAGGAACCATAGCATATTGCAATGGGTCTTTTTGCTGCCTTCAGATAAATAGGAAGCTAAGGAAGTACTTTGACTAAGTTTCTGATAACAACTCATTAAGGAAAATTTCACTTTTACCCAAAGTAAAAGCAACTCCCGCTTCTGAGTCTAGTGATCAGTATTCTTTAAACTTCATACCTTCCCACCTGTCCCCCAGAACAGTACACAACTCATTTCAGTGAGGTGGTTTTTTGTTGTTAAGATTCAGTGCAGTCTAATGACCAGGTTTTTATAGGGAAGCAGCTAGTCTATAATCCAGTCAGTTTTTTACTTTTCACTACCCCATTCTTTGGGAAGTGTCACTTGACTATAGCGCAGTGCAGTTCATACTGCCATTATCTGGCTGATTTAAAACTAAGAGACAGCTTTTTTTAATCTCAGTGTAATAACATCTTGAGAGCAGATAGCAGACACTTATCTTGCCAAAAAGTACAAAATAGTCTTTGATTTGAATGTTTACAAATATCTGAACATCTGAAATGGATTAGATAACCATATGGGTCATGACTCATGGCTCTGAAGAAGTTCTTTTTGTCTTTAATGCAAAATATTACAAGATGATTGTTCAAGACATGCTTTTTTTATATTTGGCTGCTGTTTTTCTTTCATTTTTTTGCATGTTAACAGGCTTATTTCCTATAGTTCTGTGAAATGAAGACAGGGAGTTTAGTGTCTGAAGTATTTTGATAAAGCTATAATCTCCTTTTGAGAGTTGGAGGAAAACTCATTCACATCTTACAAATTCTTGTTTTATTTATAGGTGGCCTGTGGCTTGAATACAAGGTATATTTTTTTTCATGCTTTGTTAGTTCTCTAGTGTAATTATAAGATTAAAAACTAAGAAAATAGTTACTTTTGATATGGCCAGATATAGCAACTTAAAATGAAATTGGTATTTAATAATTAAGACATAATGCTCTGAGATTTTTGGATGCTCCATGTTCCAGATTAAGAATATGTGTCAAGAATTTTAGTGATGTACTATCTGGGATTACAGATAATCAATCTTTTGGATTGGCTTCCTGACAAAAACTGAGCATAGGAATTCATTAATGCATGGTGATTGGATATTTTTAGGTGTCTTACTTAAACTCGAGAAGACTGAAGCATGCCTGGAGCTTTTTCAGAAATCTTTATGCTTGAGAGCACGTATGGAGATTCTGCAGTGTCTTCATTTTTGTGTTTGCAGTGCACATACCCTTTATATTTATTTCTAAAGATTCCTAATTAGATTTCTTAGCACTTTTTAAGCAGAGATTAAGAAATAATATTGGAAATTAGTTCTTGTTGTGGTTCAGACTAACATTAGTAATGTCCTCTGAAGAAAGATTATAATTTAGATTCAGGTATAGTACACGAAGAAAAGGGGGGGGGGAGGGGTTTACTAATTTTGCTGAGTTACAGGGCCTACGTCTTGCAGTTTTCATTGTGTATGAAACCTAATTCAAGTGAATTGTCAAGTAAAAAAAAAAATTCTAGGGAACCTCACATTTTATTGAAGGCTTACTTTTTCTGATTTCTTCTCCCTGTTAGTGATTTTTTTTATTATTTTTTTTTTTATTAGGCAGGTGTAATTTAGTTGTTGGCATGTGAGCCCTCAAGTGTTTAAGCTGGTTTTTTTTTCCCCTTTTTCCAGAATGAAAACTCAGCTTGACCTGATGAATATAGCATCCAGCTATGAAAAACCACCAGAGTATACTCAAAAGAAGATGGATATCAAACCTGTTGTAAATGAAATCTTGGCTTTGAAGTTAACGCATGTTAACGTAGGCATTGTTAAAGGTAGGAAAGATTTGGGTAGTCAGTCTAGGAACCTGTAGTCTGTGAAACTAATGGCTAATAAGCAATCTGCAGGGCAAAAATATGCAAGTGTTCAAAAATCATCTGACTACATTAATGGATGATCAATTCATCAAGGGCTTTTAAATGCATTTTGTGAGTCTCCTTTCTCTAGAAAGTCCCTAGGTTATATTTTCGGAAGCTGGGGGAAGTATAATTTTCCTATATAACCATTATTGCCACTATTGGAAGTGTGTTGCTGAACTAGATGGGCATTTGTTGTAGTGGAACAGGAACATTAGCTACGCTCTGATTAAATGTTTTTACCTCATAGGAGGAAATGTTAGGTTTTGTATCTGGGCAGATATCTCCATGCATTTAGAAAGCTTCTTTTGCAGGCCTCTTGCTTTATCGCACAGCAGTTTCAACAAGTACTAGGGTCTCACTTAGGGCAATAAACTTTTGTTCTTAATTGTAATCTATGTTTAGATGCACAGGAATATTTCAGTATTATCCATACTTAATACGCTCTCCATCAATATACTTATGTTCTTTCTAATAGATCTACCTTCTAGAAGAGATGAGAACTCAACAAAAAATACTTTATTTAAAAATAATATAAAGCAATGCCAGGAGCAGAAGAATATACCCAACACATTTCTTGTAAGTTATTGACTATGAGGCTACAGCACTGTACTCTTTTGTTTATTTTGTCCTATGGAAATGAACTATAATGTCTACTGCAAAACTTTTCAGCCTGTAGCAGGACAGGAGGAAGCACTAGCAGACGGTAGCAGGATCTGTACTCGCTTCATGTCAATATCAGAAATGTCAGCATTTCAAAACATGAGCCATGAGGTATGATTGACCATCTGTTGTAAGTATGGCTAAGTTACTATTTGTTATGATACAACTCTCTAAATAAACTTTTATAATCTTTTTCAGTTTTCTTAGTAGAAAGTTACCCTTCCAATTGTAGAATTAAATCTGACTAGGTTATTAAATCTGACTAGGTTATTAAAGCTGTCAGGATTTTACTTTTTTTTTTTTCTTCAGAAATCTGGAACTTAATCTTGCTACTGACTTAAAATACTTATTTTTATATTTTAGTGTGGCTTTTTGAGTCACATTTGTAGCTTTCTAATCCAAATAAGCTTCTCTATTGCCTATTTGAAGAGGAAGTCATCTGCCTGTGTCCTGTTTTCTGAATATAAGAGAATTCACTCTAAGACTACTTAAACTCCTGATAATTTGACATGAAACTGAATCCAGTCTCTCTTTTTGTTTCATTTCCAATGAACTAGTTATACAACTAGATTTTTTTCACTTAAGAGCACTTCCATGTAGGTGGCTGAGCGAGTATTGTTTTGTACAGAATGATTCTAGTTACAGCTAGTGAAACATGGCTGGCTGTGGATCACGTAATGTATGTTCTGAGAACACCAGTAGCAGATGATTAAATGAAAAAGTTGCTTAGGGCCTTTAAATATAGGATTATTTTGCTGTATTATTTTTGAGAACATCTGTTTTCTATTCCCATTGAGAATACAATTTATGTAGTAACTGTATCTAGTAAAAAACAAACAAACCTACAAAAAACAAAGCCCAGAAAAACCTACCACCTAAATTTATTTTTAGATAGTTATTTTTCATGACAATTTGAGAACTTGTCACTTCATGTCTAAGCTAGTATTTTTAGCTATTTCTGGCTTTGGCAGTGACTTTACAGTTTTTTATAGTCTCCTGTTTCAAAACCTGCTTTGTCATCAGGGTCCTGTGTATATTTTGTTCAGTTGTTTTTAAATAACACAAGTCATCATGGAAAACAGTTCTGTTGCCTTCTAGCAGCAATGTAAAAATATATCATAAATGGTATAGAATCTATGAAAACTTTGTTCAGTCTTAGGATCATATGTGAGTTTTATAGCCTCTGAATTCACAAATGCCATTTATTTAACGGGATTCTTTGCTGTAATTGTAGGAGTTACGTTACAAGTACTATATGGAATGTCAGCTCACCGATGAGTTGAAGACACAAAGTTTACCTGCAAATAAAAAGTATAAATTTGTAATTCCTGAGGCTTTGAAGGATAGGTCCTCAGGAACTCCTTTTGTATCTTCATCTACCAAAGCAAATAACACAGATAAAGTAAAAACGGGAACCCTGCAAAGGACAGATGGCTTTAATGAGAGAAGCTTTTCTGGAACCAGTAATCACAGCATACCATCTACAAGTATGAACTTTTCTGAAACAAATGGTGACCTCAAATTATTTCATGAGAGAAGTTCCCAGGAAGTAACCACTCTGGCCATATCAGAAAATTCTAAAGACTTAGTAATTAAAGAAAAACTGCCAATGCAGGCATCAGCAGTTATTGTTTCCAATGAAATGGACACAAACTCTAGCACTTCATCTGGCTTAAAACCAGCAGCATCAGTAGCTGTTACTGTTTCAAATTCAGAATTTCTAGATGTTTCTGCACAGAGGCTTTTTGCTTCACCTTTTGCTTTCAGTGCCTGTAACAACTCCTCACCCAGATTTATTAAAGATACAGGTACATTTTCCTTCAAAAAGAAAGATAGGAAATATGTTTTCCCTCAATTTTATCTAGGAAAATGTGATAGTGTGGATAAAAGCGATAACCAGGATGAAAACAAACCTAGAAAACATGACCCTGTATCCAAAACCACAGTTTCTGATGCTTCAACCAGTCCTAATTTAGACTTTGCAGAAAGTGATAAGCCAGATTTTTCATTTCCCTTTGGCAAATCAGAAAGAGATTGTTTTGCAGGGTCAGGAGTCAGCAATTCATTTAAGGCTTTACCATTATCCTCATTTTTTAGCAATTCTGAGAAGCCATCTGACAAAAATACATCATCTCACATGAGAGAAAAAACACTTTCTGCAAAGGAAACTACAGAATATGGTACACAGAAACCATCTGTTTCATGGGAACAAAAAGCTAATGCCTCAGAATCCATCACAATGGTTGCTTGCAGTACTTCAGAAACCAACACTGTAGCTGGGGTGAATGATGTTTCCAAGTCCCCCCTTCTCCCTAGTAATTGTGTATTTTCCTTCAAAAATAACTGTTTTCAGTTGCCTTCACCAGTGTTTTCATTTGGAAGTATTGTCAGAAATAACTCTGATTCGCTGACTTCCTCTATGGTTTTGCCTGGAAATGGTACTGAAAAAACAGAGAAAGAGAAGATGAAATCTCCTGACAAAACACCTCTAAATCTAGGCAAGTCTCTATCTTCAGAGTGTGCAGAGCCTGCTTCTAAACATAGTCATGCAAAATGTGAAGTTTCATTCTTTCCTATGAACTCTCCAAAGAAAACCGGAAGCACAGAAGTGCTTGCCGATGGTAATTCTTGTAGCCAGCCTTCATGTTCAGTTGTCCTTCCTGTTAAGTGCGATAATGCATCTTCCACTCAAATTATTACAGCAGCAAAAAAAGAAACGAAGGTAAAAGATGAAGAAAGTGAAACTGTTGCTGAAAACCTCTGTTCCTCTCCTAGGAGGGAAGATGAACCTGAGTCTGTACAGTTGCAGAATGCAGCTTGTTCCGTTCCTGGCACATGCAATGATCCATCTTCAGGAGGTTCTGTGCTTATGGTAAATGAGGCAGGAGGAATGCCAAGTGACAGCGATTCTGACACTGAAGAGCTAAGTCAGACATCTGTCTCTAGTGATGCCAGCAGTGCATCAGAATATTCTTCTGTTGCCGAAGACAAAATATCTACTAGAAGAAAATCAGAGACATGAAGAGAGTGAAATGGATGATAACTACACTTAAATAAGCTGGAATTAAATAAATGCTCCTTAACACATGAAAAAGTGGGGATACCTTTGCTTTTACAGCTGTTACTCTGTCTGATTCTGGTCAGTTGAGGTATCTCTGTGTTAGAAACATAGGTACTTGTCAGCAAGTAGAAGGTACTAAAGAGATTTTTATTGTACAAACCCAAACTGAAGGAACAACTGAAAGCATCATGTCTTTTTAAAGACTCAAGTATGACCATATGTGCTGTATGTTTAAGAATGCAGACCTTCTGAGAAGTGCCACTGGGGTATGTGTGGGTGGTGGGGGACTGAGGGGTCCCAGAGAGCAGATTCAGACCTTAGCAAGAGGAAGCCATATATTGCTGTTTTGGTACAGCACCACTTGCACTTAGCTTAAATTGGTAAGAGAGTACAGACAATAGCCTTCACCTCATGGGCAGGGAGGGAAGGAAAGTCATGGGGGAAATAAAGGATGTAGAGGGGCGTTACTGAAGATTGTTTTGCTTATCTCCCTTTGGCTGATTTCTGTTTCTGGGATGTATTTAATGTATACTGAAGGTGCAACTTCTAGTGTAATTTCAGTAATTTCTCTTACCCTTTTGAAATTGAAATGCCACATCAGTATTCTCATTACACATCACAGAAGGGTGTCACCTACACTTCTGAAATGCTGCCTTTATGAAAAGTAATTGTCACCATTATTTTTAGTTCCTTTTGGCACCAGTTTGGGAATCAGTGGACAGATACTAACTTGCTGTTTTGATGAAAGCATGATGAGAATCTATCTTTTAAAATACAAAAACCTCCTTTTAAAATTTGTGGAACAATGGGGGAAAAAGGAAAACAGCACTATTCACTGTAATTATAATCCATAACTCACTGAATTTTTAGTCTGTGAAATATACAAAGTAAGGATAAAAATACCATCTTTTCTAATTTATTAGATGCTTTTTGTGCCCAAGAGGTAATTGTCCTGTAGTTATTTGAATATACAGAGGGTAGTACTATTTCAGATTACAGCTTTCCTTCACTTACTGTTCACTCTCCAGCAAGAACTGGTGCCAGATTTTAAATCAATTAATCCTTCATTAGGTAGATATGTCAGCTGGCAAGTATTATATCAGAATGGTAAATATGTCTTCAGAATTTTTAAAACTTACTAATCTTCCCTTTGCATCTGTATTATGGTAAGAAAGGTGTTGAAAATTCTCTTTATTGTTAGTTTTATAGTTTGTCATGTTCATCTCTTAAGCCTTACTGTATTTCAGTGTTCTCCTAAGATTTTTTCTGCTTTTATCTCTAGACCTTCTTGTCATGTTCTTCTGCATGTGTAGGAGAGAAGTGTTAAAAAAGTACTGAGTTAAATTAACGGAAGACAGAGGCTGAGCATGATGATAATGGCAGAAAGTGTCGTGGATGGAGGTTGATCTCCCTACAGTGAAAATGAGAGAAATGGAACAATTTTGGAGAGACAGATAAGGCATCTATAAAACTTGCTCCCAGAAGGTTGTAGAAAATGTTTTCTGCTACATTGACAAGAAAGTTCCTAATGAGTTAGTGTTATTCAGAAACCCTATTGAGTTTCTTAAAATTGATTATTTTTGATAAATCTTCTGTTCATTTCTGTTTCAGTGTTTCATAAGAGTTTGATAAAGCTAAACTTTAAAGCAGATACTTCATCTTTTAGTGAAAAGACATAATTATAAAATCATAAAGCAAATAAAGAGACTATGATACACTGTTTTTAAAAGCAGACGGTGTGTGGGTTCAATACAGTCCTACGACTGCTTTTCAAGCATGGCAAGTTGTTGTCTAAGTGCACTAAAGGTCAGCATTAAGATTTACAGGGGAGATAAATGGGAAGCAGGATGTTTTATTTACAGTAGATCATAGTAAAATTACAGTACACCCACATATTAAATCAGTAGAGTTTTTCTGATATTTTCACAAGTGGATTCCTTGGTCATTTTCACTTAATCACTTGTTTATCTTTCACTATTGATTCTTTACTAAAAGTCATAACAGGAGTGAGGTGTTTTTTATATACATTATTAAAATGAAATGTTGACTGCTCTTAGTAATGCTTTAAGAGACATTACAACCCTCAGCATATAAAATTAGTACCCTGTAACCTGTTGGAGCCAGTCCAGAGCAGGGCCACAAAGATGGTCAGAGGGCTGTAACACCTCCCCTATGAGGACAGGCTGAGAGAGTTGGGGTTGTTCAGGCTGGCGAAGAGAAGGCTCTGGGCAGACCTTATAGCAGTCTTCCAGTACTTAAAGGGAGCCTACAGGAGAGATGGGGAGGGACTGGGTATCAGGGAGTGGAGTGATAAGATGAGGGGTAACGGTTTTAAGCTGAAAGAGGGTTTTTGCTTTTGCTTATTATCAATAACTTCCATCACTATCTTGGTCATCATGGTAAAATTGTGTGTGGCAGTGAGGACTGTTGTCAAAGCCTAATTTTCCTAGGTTATCTAAATAGTATATGCATATATATTTTTTCAGACTACGAGTAGACTGAAATGTAGTGTTAAACTGGAGAATTTTCAGGAATAGTATTAAAATACTGCTGAAAACTTTGCTCTTTCCAGCAAAAAACAAGAAAATAGTTAGGAAACATATTTTACTAAACTCAGTAATTTGCACTGCAAGGGACAAGGATGCTAGAGGTGTCCTGGATCTTTCTGACTCTTAAGGATGCAAGAGGTGAAAAATGAAGCAATTCTACATATGGTTGTAAAATTTTATTAATCAAATGTCATTGTACTGATACAAAACCCTCCTTATACTTGAAATTTTGTAGACTAAAATTGCAGACCAGATTAAAAGATTTTATAATGATTCATGAAGGCACTTCTTCATAACGTAATAGAAACCTTAGAACAATTTGTTTGATAATAATTGCTAAAATAATCACTGAACATCCTTCACAAATGAGCTGAAAGTTTCCAGTGCTGTCCTACTGAGAGTCTAATCTCACCAGCTGTCAGAACTATGACATCTGTTCAGTATATTTCTAAGAGCTGTCTTAACATATATATCACTACCTGAAAAAAAATCCAAAACCCATGCAATTGAAAGATATGTGCAGCTACCTACGTTTGTAATCTATTAGAAACAAGTATTTAGTTGACATTGGAGCTGCTACAATGTCAGTGTGTAAAGGTTAATTTTCTAAGTAAATTTTGTGTTATTAACATTGGATACTACTAAAGCTTAATTATGAAACATATTTGATAACTCAAACCTAGTCACTTCCTAAATTAAAAGGCAGCTGATCTCTGTGTTGAGTGTTATTTACTGCTGCTTTTTTTTTCAACCAACAAGCTTCAGTTTCTTGTCGTAGATTTCACCCAGTTGCTGAAATGCCAGTAGAACACCATCATTTGGATCGTCACACAGTTCACTCAGTGATGCTCTGTTTTTTTAAAAAAAAAAAAACAAAAAACATTGTTTCATTTTAAGTTGCTTTAAAGATTAAATATATTTTGTATATTAAAAAATACAAGTTTATCATACCCAATAGACTTAATGAGGAGTAAAAAATCCTTGAGTGCGTAGTAAGCATCTCCTTCATTTAACCTAAAGAAAGAAAAAAATTCAATTGGATATGCAACATAACATACCGTTTCATCTTTAAGAAACCCTGCCATGTAGGTTGGGTAAGGATCCAGAGAGCATATTCCATGGCCTCAAACTACTACATGACATGCTACTTCATTAGGATTACTGTAGAATAACTATAAGCTTAAAATAATAATGCTATACTAAGCATATAAAAGATTCACAAGTAACATTTGGGAAGATAATTTCTTAATAGTATCTTGGGAACATGGTCTCAACTATTTTAATAACCTGTTACAAGCTAAACTGGAATGTTAAACTTCAGATGAATCTGCTGGCTAAATGGAGCAGGAGATAGTGTAAGCTTTCTACAGCTGATGACGACTGTATTTTGCAAAAAGGACCACTCATTAATGAAGAGCAACTTAATAAACTCAGTTCCTAGTAATTAAGAATACCACATTTTTTAAAAAATTACAATCAGTTTTGTCTTAAAAATAATGGAATTATAGAATGGTTTGGGCTGGAAGGGACCTTTAAAGATCATCTAGTCCAAGTGCCTTTGCCATGGGCAGGGACATCTTTCATTAGCTCAGGTTTACAGAGTCAAATAATGTGATTTTATAATCAGTGTATTTCCTTATCTCTTGATAATGTGGCATTAGTGCCAAACTCTGCCATTGTAACTACAACAGTGCATGGAATGTGTATTCTAATTGTTCTTACTAGAATCTTATTTGAAGAGCTTACAAAAAAAACAGATAATGCTATATGCTCCCAATGGCACCCTCAGGGAGGAGAGTGAGGTGGTATTTTCTTACTCATAAATAAAAGTTACTGGCTATGAGCATGAAGGCAAAATAAAGATACTTGATAGAGTAGTTGGCAGAGGGAGCTTGTGGTTTAGCTTGTTTGAGCTGAAGTTGGGAATAAAACATACGTGAATGGCTTCATTGAGAACTGCAAGCTAGAAGTTTTATAAAGAGATGGATTTAATGAACAAGGTTTCAGGAAAGCTGGTGAGATTCAAAGGCAAAAGTGATGATGAAAATTACAAGACATCATGTTTAGCGGGTGCATCTCTAAAAGACTGAAGAGAACAACAGGACTGTAAATGGTAAGAGCAAAAATTAGTATCTCAAATTTAGCTTCTGAGAAGAAGAAACCAAATCGTAGGATCACAGAAGGGTTTGGGTTGGAAGCGACCTTAAAGATCATCAAGTTCCAACCCCCCTGCCATGGGCAGGGACACCCTCCACTAGACCAGGCTGCTCAAAGCCTCATCCAGCCTGGCCTTGAACACCTCCAGGGATGGGGCATCCACAGCTTCTCTGGGCAACCTGTTCCAGTGTCTCACTACCCTCACAGTAAAAAAATTTCTTCCTGGTATCTAGTCTAAATCTATCTTCTTTCAGCTTAAAACTATTACCCCTTCTCCTGTCACTACACTCCCTGATCAAGAGTGCCTCTCCATCTCTCCTGTAGCCCCCTTTAAGTACTGGAAGGCTGCCATAAGGTCTCTCTGGAGCCTTCTCTTCTCCAGGCTGAACAACCCCAACTCTCTCAGCCTGTCCTCGTGGTGGATGTGTTCCAGCCCTCTGATCATCTTTGTGGCTCTCCTCTGAACCCTCTCCAACAAGTCCATGTCCTTCTTATGTTGGGGGCCCCACAGCTGGATGCAGTACTCCAGGTGGGGTCTCACAAGAGCGGAGTAGAGGGGGAGAATCACCTCCCTCAACCTGCTGGTCACGCTTCTTTTGAGGCAGCCCAGGACACGGTTGGCTTTCTGGGCTGCAAGCGCACACTTGCCAGCTCATGTTGAGCTTGTCATGTACCAACAATACCCCAAGTCCTCCTCCTCAGGGCTGCTCTCAATTCATTCTCTGCCCAGCCTGTATTTGTGCTTGGGATTGCCCCGACCCACGTGCAGGATCTTGCACTTGGCCTTGTTGAACTTGGGTCCACCTCTCAAGCCTGTCCAGGTCCCTCTGGATGGCATCCCTTCCTTCCAGTGTGTTGACTGCACCACACAGCTTGGTGTCATCAGCAAACTTGCTGAGGGTGCACTTGATCCCACTGTCCATGTCTCCAAGAAAGATGTTAAACAACACTGGTCCCAATACCGATCTCTGCAGAATGCCACTTGGCTTGCACATGGAAGACTGGTGCAGTTTAGAAGTTGATTAATTAGGAAGGTGAAAGTGTCTTAAAAGATTATTTGTCTGGAGCTCTATCAAGTGTAAGTGATTGACAGGCTCTTCAGAAGTTTTGTTTGATTTAATCGAGGTTTTTTCACAATGAAAAAGATCAGAAGTCCCTGAAACGAGGAAGCCCAATGCAGTAGTCTAGATGGTAACACAGTAGCAGAGAGATGTCAAAAGCTAGGTCAAATAATGAAGACAGAAACAGATTAAAGGATGAATTCATGATCAGTGTTAAACAGAAGAGAGTGTAAAAGTAAAGATTAGAACTCCAGTTTTGGAAAAGCTAGAGTGTAAGTGGTTCAGGAGGAAAGAAGAAAACATGAAAAAGATGATGAGATATGCCAGTGGTCAACCAGCTTGGGTGCAGAGTTTTTGGTGTTTTTTTTTTCTTTAAAAACAAATAAAGCTACAATTGAATTATCATACAAGTTGCTAAATGCTTAGAAAAGATTAGGAAAAGAGGAAGTATTGAAGCAATACTGAAATACCGAATTACTGGCAAATTTTGCTCTGCTACTGTGAAAGTCAGGTTTCTATGATGACAGTCTTCCTGTACCAGAAAAGAGTATGTTTTGGATGCAGCAAGCAATGAGAGGTAGTTTGAGATCATGCCACTGTTTGATCAAAATAATTTGTGTCACTGAAGTCAAGACTTCCCATTTACAGTACTGTTTTGAATACCCAGCTAATACTTTACGGCCACTGCCATTGGACTTTAATGTGGTATATATTTTATTCTCATTAAAACATTCAACTAATATAATTATTTAACAGCTATTCCATCCCTAAGTTCTGTAGGAAGAAGGCTTTAAAAACAAAAGGATATACTTATATACCATATTGTAAACAAAGCTGCTGTTTAACCATATTTTAAATGGTAGTACTTACCAGTTATCAGTTGTCAATGCAGTCAAGGAGCCATGCTTATAGAAGTCCAGTGCATATGCATTGAGTGGCCTTTTCCTTCCTTGATTATCATACTTGTTCAAATAAAGCAGAGGGCAGTTTGTGACATTAATTCCAAGGGAACGTAAAACAGCCTTAAAAAAAAAAAATATCTGCTGAATAGCTATTATGGTTTTGTTTTTATGCCTATTTTGTCAAACCTATATCTTTAGACCCACAGCTGAAAAATTCTACACTTCTAATCCTAAACCACTCAAAAAATCTGCACAAGTACATGTAGGTTGTAGACACAGGAGAGAGTTTGGTAGTAAAATGACTTACACTGCCAGTACAGCTCTGGGACATTCTGAGTAATTTAAAGTTTAACTAGGCCACTGGATTTCCCTAGGGTTTTAGATGAGGATTTTTCCATATGCACAGATCATGTATTCAGATGCTCTCACTGATGCTTTGAATATATTTATTAATCAACCTTAAGCATGGGACATTTTACGGGTGAAGGTGAATTTTGAATCCTCAGCTGTAGGAATTTAATTTTTTCTAGTAAAGAATTATGAGTGGTGTGATGATTCCCTAATGCTACAAAGCCCATGTATAAGATAGCAGGAAAATGCAAGCTGACAGTCAACATGTTGATGTATATTCAGCTAATATAACTTGATAAGCTAATTCATATGCTATCTAACATGATCACTGAAATCCTAGTTGAGAAGCAAATGATCAATGCAACCATGCATCCTTTTGCTAGGACCCTTGAGACTACTGTGTGATTGAAAAAACAAAAAACAAAAAACAAAAAACAAAAAAAAAACTGCTGTGAAGAAAACAAACTGGGGATATGATTTGAATCTGAAATTTTAGAGAAATTTACTTGTCTCAGAGTCAAAAGGAACAGAGGCTTTGCAAGAAAGGAAACTACAGATTTTTTTCCTACATCCATCTATTCTGTGTTTCTTGCACAGTGATAATGTGGTGCTACTCAGTGCTGGTTTTGGGTTTTTTTTGAGACCTTTCAAATTGTTTCTCATAAAGAGTGACTCTTGGGCATAGTGCTATCATATTACAGAGAGGCAAGAAGATTGTAATAAAAAATTATTTTTTATTGAACTGTAATAAAAGTCTGCCCCTCATGAAAAAATAACTTACTTTATTAATGATCTCCCCATGAAATAGATCATTATCAACCACTCCAGATAAACATGCAAAAGGTGAGACGGCAGATATGCTTTTGGTGTTGTCCATCAAATAAGACGCTAGTTCAGAGCCATGCTGATTCTTGGATGTAAAATCTAGGCAAGAAGTTTCAAATACAACATAAGCTATGCAGACACAAGCTCCCCTTCAGCAATCTATTTTAAAAGCAAGACATTTTCAATTCAGTAGATAGTGACAGGAAATATAGTTAATCTTCTAAACTTAAATCCTTCTTGATACATTTGTTTATTTTGTTCATGAGAACCTCTACGCAATTGATTCTAGTATTTAAGAAAGAGCTTCCCAGTGGTGAGAATAATTACATCTCAATCCCCACCTTGCACAGAATCCCAGAATGTTAGAGATCGGAAGGGACCTCGAAAGATCATCTAGTCCAATCCCCCTGCCGGAGCAGGAACACCTAGATCAGATCACACAGGAACGCATCCAGGTGGGCTTTGAATGTCTCCAGAGAAGGAGACTCCACAACCTCTCTGGGCAGCCTGTTCCAGTGCTCTGTCACCCTCACTGTAAAGAAGTAGCAACTTAAGCTTTTTTCCTTATCTCATCTGTAGCCAAAATGGTAAGTAAGTATACAAGTATCTACCACCTCTTGAACTGGATATGGTTTGATCTTGCATCTTTTTTCTGTAAATCTAATGGAAGTGTTTCTTTCGAAGTGAAACAGCATCAGCAAAATAGGGAGAATGCAACCATATTACATCTTCCATTTAAACAAGAAACTCTACCACATTCAAGTAGAATAGGAAATTCAGTTTATTCATTTCACATCCTGGGTAAAAGTAGCATTAGTAACATTAATATATATAAAGGAATATATATATCCTGAAAATGCAAGGCAGCCAATGCTTTGCTCTTCTAATTTGGAATAGCATCGTTCATTTACAGTTCTTAATTTCCTGTGTTTTTCAGGTTACATACCAAGGTGTGGGTTCCCTCCATTGTTAAAAGAAGCAATCTTAAATTGAGTATGAAAAGAATAGGACTTCACTATAGTGTTCCTAAAGTTATACCATTATGCAGCACTTCCAGTGCTCTGCACTAGAAATGGAAAACTGCTATTTACCATGCCAAGCCATACATAGTATTCAATCTTGTTTTGCATTCACCTTATCTGTTTATTTCTCCTAGTGCCCCGCCTTTGTATTGAGTTGACAACCATTTTATACAACACTTTCTATGATCCAGGTATCGCCATAGTTGAAACTCAAAGTAGATTATAAGATGTGGTAGCTTGTAAAGTAATTTGGGCTTTTTTTTTTCATTTGTACACAGCAGAGACTAAAAAAATTACTGTACCAGTATAGGAAAAAAGGATTAATAAATACAGTTATCTGCTATAATTGAAGTGCTTCCTTACTGCAAAAATAGTATTTTTGAAGGCATGTTATTTTTAGAGGAGCTAGGCAATGGCATCTTGGTATATTACATTGCTTTTATATCTCTCTTCCCGGAAGCAACATGAGATTATGTAGTAGTTAAATATTTTTCATGCAATGGCAATCCATATTGCCTGGTAGTTTTATAGTCATGCCTTTTCATATTGCTTTGATTATTGGACATCATTTCTTGGCATAAGTAACTTAGATGATTAAACAAATGGTGCTATGTTCTTCTTTAACTGTTAATTCAGTTGAGACTGTTCGGATGTTGAAAATCTAACCTTTGTAAGACTCTGAAAGCAATTCAAGAATCATAGGCATTTGAAGATCTGCAAATGAATTGATGATTAGGAAAAAAAAGGTTTTTATTCAATAACTACACTTAATATTTTTTCCTTTTATAAAAAAATCCCTTTGATTTTTTCTTCTACAAAATAATGAAAGAACAGCAACTAAAATGATTGTTTTCCTGTACAAAATTTCTACCATATACAATATAATCTCTAATGCTTATAAAACAAAAGTGAAATGGAAATTTTATCTCTTTTTTAGCATGTCTGAAGTCACCATTTTTTCTTTACAAAATAAGAATTAACCCAACTCAACTTTCCTAATAAAATAAATTTCACAAATTATGAATATGCATTAATTTTTCATTTCCTACCTGTCTTTGACAGTGGAAGTCTGTATTCTTGTTCCATATCTGCCAGCTTGGCAGTTGTCAGAAGAAAATGAGCAAAATTTTCCTCTACTTTGGTGTTGTACTCATTTACGGCATCTGCAAAGTCTTTTGGCAGATCTTCTAGAAAGACCTGCAATAACATGCAGTATTGCTTAATTCATGTAATTTTTCCAAAAGTCAGTTTTACACTGGTGCATACATAGAGTATTAGTACACACATGGATATTAGTAGAAAGAAGGAAAGAGTATAGTTCCAAGCTTTACCCCAGCTTGTCAGACTGCCTGACCATCTAGAATTAACGGATCTTAAAGATAAACATAAATTTCATGCAGAAAAAGGCATGGAAGCTAAACAGTAAGTGTAAAATTCCTCGATTTTTACTCACAGAGTACTTGGCAAACAGCTCTATTAAAGATGTTTCACCTAGCTAAAAAGGGACTTCTGAAGGGCTGCCTTTCCCAGATCTTGTTGTACGTATCTTGGTGTTCATCAGGTTCCCTACCAATATGACAGACTGATGCTTTGCCACCATTAGCTACAGCAGTCCCGTAATCCTCCTACATGACTAGCCCCCTCTTCAGAAATAAGTAACACTGTTCCTCTTGGAATGCTTGCTGGAAACTGGCCACATAAGCATCTTCACCTCGAAGAAGTTCCTTTGTTACTCCAGCCATAGCTGTGTCCTCCAAAATTTCAAGGCTTTGCATAGAAGAACCAACAGGAGCACATTACGAATGTTTCACCTTCTGCCTGCACCCATGGTGGGTTAACTTTGTGCGTAACTACTGTGAATGCTCATCCTACTAATATTATCCCATTTTTGGAAAAAGTCCTAAGCCTACAGTGTTATGTACCACAGTCCATGCTGGTGTCCTTCTGGGTCATCACTATGTGTCACAAAAAGCTGCAGCTCCTGAGATGGAAACAAAATTCTAGCAGAGGGAGGAGAAGAAAGTAAATTGCCATTTGGGGAAGAGATACTGGAGTTGTATTGTATAAAGAAATGCTGTGTCATTTATACTTTTACATTTTGCAATATCATGGCAGTAACTGTATACTCATCTGTCATTACTAAAATATACTTGAATAATCTGGTACTTTCATTTAACCTGTCAGTCAACTGCTGCATCTGTGATTAAATCAGGGCTTCTTTATTTTAATCCAGTAAGTACTTTTTTTCATTATTCTAGCTACTTGCATTGCACGTAGGGGGCAAGGTGTTGCCAGGGGTGAGGGCACATGGTTCAGGGCTGGCTGCTGTGAGAAGAGGCCAAGGGCTGCCCAGTGACAGACACAGCTAGTTCCAGTGGCCCCACCACAGGACAGAACTGAGCCCACCAGGCACAGGTGCAGCAGCACCTCCATGAAAACTTTAAGGGCAAAAATGTCACACAGGCAGACTGAGAAGCAGCAGTGCTAACACCCAGAGGAGAGAAGGAAGTGGAGGAGGTGCTCCAGGTGATGAAGCAGAGATTCCCCTGGAGCCTGCAGAAGAGACCACAGTGGAACAGAGATTTCCATGTAGCCCTCTCAGTGGAGATGGCCATGCTGGAACAAATATCCACACTGCAGCCTGCGAAGGACCCTGCACCAGAGCAGCTGGATGTTTCCTGAAAGAACTACAGGCCATGGAGAGCCCACACTGGAGCAGGTTTATTCTGAAGGACTGCAGCCCATGGAGAAGACTCACACTGGAGCAGGTGTGATGTGTGAGGAGGAAAAAGTGGCAGAGCGAGCTGTTAAGAACAGACCCCAACTCATTTCTCATCAGCCCTGCACCGCCTGTGGCGGGGCCGGGGGTAGGTGTAAAGGAATCAGGAGCAAAAGAGTAAAGTTGAGCCTGGAGAAGGCAGAAGGGGGAAGGTGGTGTTGAAATTTTAATTTATTGTTTCTCACTACCAAAATCTATTTTAATTGGTAACAAATTAATTTAACTTTCCACAAGCTGAGGCTGTTTTGCCCATGAGTATAACTCGTAAGCAATGTCCCTGTTTTTGTCTTGACCCACGAGCTTTTCCATCCTATTTTTTTCCCCCATCCTGTTGAAATGGAGGAATAAGGTTGGCTTGGGGGGCGGCTACCTGCTGGCCCACCAGACCACTGTACATCCATAATGACACTAGTTTAACTGACTAAAGCAAACAATTTCATTGAAGTAGTATACAACATAAGTTATAGTAAAGACCAAAGCTTTCTCTACCTTTGACTGGCAAAATCTGCGTTTATATTTCATTGAGCAGGCTGGAAGATATTTTCTCCCAAATAGGTTTGCTAGAATGAGCACTAGCTTTTCCAGGACATCTTCTGAAAAAACAGTTGAGCCTGTGTCAAAACAGAAGGTACTTGGTTTAAATATGAAAGTGTAAAAAAAAAAAAATTTTTTTGCTTAAAATAAACATCTCCTATTCAGGAGTTTCCTTTCCAGCGGCCATTGTCACAACAGAGATCATGCAAAACTATGTTGGATAAAGATCAAATCATTACATACAAAAATTTCTAGTAGATAATTAAGTAATATGTACAAATTAATACTGTATTCTTTTATGCTCACATACTGCTGCATATCTCAGTGTACAGAATGGATTTTACTCACGTAATGAATCATTAGTAGTACTTCATTTTTTAAAATTTGTTCATATTCAGAGTGGTCAACCATCTTACTACACGGCATTCAAATCTTGCTCTGGAGTCAGAATTATTAATTCTGATATGTATAGCATTATTTTTTTACCTCACCAGAATGTTTCACAAACAGTAAATTTAGGTTCATGTTACTAGCATTGCCATATGTGTGCCTTGGCTTTCTCATATAAGCATATGCAGTGTGTAGAGGCAGAGGCCAAGGATATGAGAATGAAGGCTAGGCAAGCAAAAGGCAGCAGCAGGAAGAAAGCACCCAGAAAATTTCACAACCACTGGGGTTACAGAGCCTGCCACAGGCTGCAATTAAGATGCATGGAGTATTATTTACCTTTAATTGGCCGGCACAATTTGTGGAATAAACCTTTCACAAGAAAGCTCACTAAAACAAAATTTGAAGGTTCATGATAGTACAAGTGTGTCACAAGTCCAGCAAATCCTATGGGGTTACCTTCTTGATCCAAGTAGCCCTATTTAATTTAAAAGCAAAAAAAAAAAAAAAGCTTAGTCATGAAAGATGAACTTAGATAAGACAAAAACAGAATGGTGGCATTCAGAAGAATAATCATTCAACCTAATGCATAGGTACCTATTGAGACTACTCAATTTCCATTGAAAGGCAAAAATATCTCCCTACTGAAAAACAAGTCACCAACTATTTTGAGTATTTCTATGTGAGATCTTAAATCTCCCTGTGCAAAGCAGAGATTTTGACTTCATATTTTTAGTGCATATTCAGGTCATGTTGCAAATGAAAAGTGCATACAGTCATCAAAGTAAGATCTGATGCAACTTTCATTAAAAAAACTATTAACCCAAATGTTTGATGGGATAAAAGCACAGCAAGCAGTGATCTGTCAAATATGTTGATGGAAGATGTTTGGGTGCTAGAACCTTACATAGTTTCGAAGAACAGGACAAACTCATGGAACAAAACTCCATCAAAGGCTATGAATTCCAGAATACTTGAACCTGTCAAATATCACTCTGCATCACGTCCTGGAAGAAAGTATGGACTACCCAGAGAATCATCATTATATGGTTGCCCTTTTTTTTTTCCCCCAGTTCCCTGCGAAAATTATTGGTGACAGGATGCTAGGCATGTGGGCCAGGTTTTGTCCAGTTCTCACACTAACTATAACTTTTCAGAAACATTACTAATCTCTCTTGTACACCAACTAAATTATTTTCAATGGGAGTACCAGACTCCTGGTCTCACATACAAGGGACACCCAGCAGAGTCGGCAGAAATGTTAGTTAGGGCTCCTCCTGGGAGCAGGACTGGAAAACCTAGGCACAGATGATTTGTTAATGTAATCACATTATTGGCGTCTCTTACTGCCTGTAGTTCTGGGCTGTAAACCGAAATGGAGTAATGCATAAACATTTTCCAAAATGGTGTGCATCAAATTGAAACTATTACTAGGGAGAGATACACCACTAATTTTCAGTCTTCTCCAAGACCTACTTCCTAAATATTTGTTAGGGATATAATTTCTCCCAGCATTTTGGAAATCATGTCATCTTTGGTATGTTTTAAACCCCTATCACATCACATGCATGCATCTTCATATGCAATATAAATGCACAACTCTTACTTTCCTAATCAATTTGTAATTATATAGACCATACTGTAAGATGTTCCCTGTCTAATGTATTCAACAACATAGGTAGCTCATAATTAACCTCAAACTTAAAGCACTCTAATTTTATCTATTTCCTTAAATTTCTTTCTAACAGAAGGAAATAGCCTATTGCTATGGAATATAAAATATATGGTTCTTTAAATGAAAGCACACTAACACAAACAAATGAGAATCTGTAGATTTAAGAATTACTTTTTATGAGAACGAGTTAAAACCTACCTCTTTGATAAGAAATTGCAAGGAAAACATAAAATAAATTTTTAATATTTCAGCATATCTTTCTTTTCTGAATGACATCAGTGAGTGTTTCAACACTGACAATGCCTGGTCAAACAAACAAGAAAAAAAAATCAGAAATTAGAAATCCAAGGGAATGTTGATATTTTAACAAGCAAAGAAATTCAATATCCAGCTTTTATGATTTGTTTCATCAATTGGTTTTCAGGGTAAAAATGATGGGTGGGGGTTATGTTGTATTTTTATTTAAATTGAATGCCTAACTCCTGGAAATGTTTGTGAAAAAGTCCATCCTCTGTCAGATGTGTGTGCGTTTTCTAAATTTATCCTGATGTTTGTAAAGTTAATTACAAGAAATTCATATAGAGATCTAAAAGAGAAGGATTAAAATATCATTAAACTACAACCAGGAAGTTTTGAAATTACTCCTTATACTTTAATACCATTTTAATATTTTATTATTAAACATAGAAGTTTACCAATTTACTTAGCTATCTTAAGAGACTTATGTCTGAATTCATTCAGTGGGTCCTCAAAAATAGATGTCTATATCCTGAAGGGGATGTAAAAAACAGATCCTTTGGAGGTAAGGGTTCCTTAATAATGATCTCTGACCAATTTGTAATCATGGTCAAGGGTTGTTTACTTAAATCACTGCATTAAATGGCAGGAATAAGAATTCTTTGATTCCCGAGAGTTAGTATGCAGATTTAAACAAGTGAGTAATACATAGAATTTTCTCTTTGTTTCAACTGAGGTAGCATTTCATAGGTCCCCCCTTCCCTGTGGAAATGCATCTTTACATGTTTTTCTCAAATAAAGCTGAAATTTTAAATATTGGAAGACTTTTTCCAAGTTAATGCAAATATCACATAGAACAAGAGTCAGTAAAAATACCTCCCTGATAGTAGCATTCTTTCTGATGATAATATTTATTGCAAAGAATAAATGCATGAAAATGGACACTACAATAACGTGGAGACGACAGCACAGGTACTAGAAGCAGTATAGCAGAGTATGCAACTTCATTTGGAGGCAGACTGCTTACTTCTGAAGTGCATAACTTTCTGCTCATGAGACATGACAATTTCATTAATTGCTATTAAGAAAAAAATATTAAACCTTTGCTCTGGCATCCTCTTTGTCATCAGCCCTTGCAGCCAACAGCATTAGTCTCAATATTAAGGAAACAGTCAGAGGAAACTGGCCTTTCAACTGAGGTACGTTGGATTTGATAAGTCTTTCAACTTTGGGCAATGGAATATCATAGAAGAACACGTTTCCAATCATATCCTGTCCCCGTCTTCCAGCACGTCCTGACATCTAAGAATAAAATATTTACTAATTATATTATTAAATAATAAATCTGGTAATTTTAAAATAAAAGATATCTAAGTTGTACATACTGGTACCACCTATACAGTTTTAATAAAGCATTTATGCAGAATTATTAAAATAATGTGTGCAAAGTATGTTGCATACCAAATATAGCTGGTTTACAAATGCGGTGGGTTTATTACTTTTTAAAATATGAAATTCCAAATTTGACCTAAACAAGACCTAAACACTGGCCAGGATACTTATGCTCTCTTACATGTCTTTTTAACATTTATATTTCTTCAAGGTAAGTTTTAATTTAATTTGTACCTATACACCAGCTTTGTTTTTAACTTATATTTAGCTCTGAATTATTTCTGGGTAGATTGGGCCAGAGGTAGTCTCAATGTTGATAAAGAGCAGAGAATATGAAAAAGGAGCAGAGAGAAGCTGTCTAAGGGCATATTCCCTTGCTTGGCTCACCTGTTCTTGGTCAGATCCACTGTAGGGACTCACCCCTTGTACCAGATGATGTGACAAAGCTGGAGTTATATCATTTCTGTGCAGCAGAAGGGAGATGCATGTAGGTTCATCTACTGCACAGATCCACTCACACTCTGAGAGCTACCTGCTAGGTGAGGCCATCAACAGCACCTGGCCTATATGGTGTCCTGAACCAGAGGCAAACTGGCAGTACTTCATGAAAAAAAAAGGTTTGAAAAGGAGCACAAGAGTAGCAAACGGGCTAATGAAGATGTTAGAGTCTCTCAGCCCACCAGCAAGTTTTGTCATGACTGGAGACATTTTGCTTTATTGCATTTGCAGCCTCATCTACATCACTGCTGTTGCTGTGAGGAGTGCCACTTTCAAGATGGAAGGAAATCTAATGTTCCTATTAATCCAGTCAGCAATCTTTCTTTTCCTCCTTACGTCCCCACTCTATGTTCTTATAGCATATTTTTCACACATTTGTAAAACCCTGGCTAGAACAAAACAGCTACATCCTTCCAGCTCCCATAAGTGAAAGCCAAATCTACGCCTTTAATTCACTGAGCAATTGTAGTACTTTCATTGCTCAAATAGGTTTTTTGACTACATACATTATTTGTGGGCTGGCAGTTTTGAAACATTAGTTAAATCACCTTAACTAAAACTATTATTGTCACCAAAATAAACAGCTAAAACTCAGAACATACCCAGAATTATATGCAAAAAGAAATTTTCCTGAATTTGTGTGTGATGACAGCTATATGTGTACTGTTCTTGTAAGAAAAAGCAGGTGTTCTATTTCCATACCTGTCTGTAATTTAGGGCATCTAAAAAGACAGAATCTTCAGCAAAGACAACAGATTTACACGGCATGTTGATTCCTAGAGCAAGTGTTGAAGTAGCTGTGACTACCTAGAAAATATCAAATATGGGTATATCTATTAGAAATGGCAATATCCAATTAAAAAAAAAAACATGTAATATCCAACTTAAATCAACAGGAATTTTACTATAATTTTTCATATAGCTAAACTTTAATCTGACAAATTTAACAGAGCTATGAACATAAATGAATTTCACTCTTTAGTGTAGTTCATATAGCTATTACATATGCATATTGAACTTTTGTATCCTGAAAGTTTATCCTGCATTTTTTGTGGAACACAAATTGAAATAATATTGAAATTGAACACAAATTGAAATATTCAGTGAAGACAGTACAAAATATCATAATCCTATAGAGTTCATTTAACTAACACAGTTGGCTGCTGTGGTAAAAGACAATTTCAAAATATTTCTATAAATACATCAGCAACAAAAGGAGGACTAAGGAGAATCTCCACCCTTTACTGGATGTGGGGGGAAACATAGTGAGAAAAGCTGAAGAAAAGGCTGAGGTGCTTGATGCCTTCTTTGCCTCAGTCCTTAATAGTAAGACCAGTTGTTCTCACTTTACCCAGCCCCCTGAGCTGGAAGACAGGGACAGGGAGCAGAATGACGCCCCCATAATTCAAGAGGAAATGGTTAGAGACATGCTGCACCACGTAGACACACACAAGTCTATAGGGCTGGATGGGATCCACCCAAGGGTACTGAGAGATCTTGTGGAAGTGCTCACCAAGCCACTTTTCATCATTTATCAGCAGTCCTGGGCAACTGAGAAGTCCCAGTTGACTAGAAGTTAGCAAATGCCATGCCTGTCTATAAGAAGGGTCAGAAGGAAGATCTGGGGAACTACAGGCCTGTCAGCCTGACCTTGGTGCCAGGGAAGGCCATGGAGCAGATCATCGTGACTGCCATCACATGGCATGTACAGAACAACCAGGTGATCAGGCCCAGCCAGCATGGGTTTATTAAAGGCACGTCCTGCTTGACTTACCTGATCTCTTTCTATGACAAGGTGACCTGCTTAGTGGATGACAGAAAGGCTGCAGATGTTGTTTACCTGCACTTTAGTAAAGCCTTTGACACTGTTTCCCACAGCATTCTCCTGGAGAAACTGGCTGCTCATCGCTTGGATGGGTGTACTCTTCTCTGCCTATCAAACTGTCTGGATGACCAGGCCCAAAGAGTTGTGGTGAATGGAGTTAAACCCAGTTGGTGGCCGGTCACCAGTGGTGTTCCCCAGGGCTCAGTATTGGGGCCAGTTCTGTTTAATGTCTTTATCAATAATCTTGACAAAGGGATCAAGTGTACCCTCAGTAAGTTTGGGCAGGAGTGTTGATCTGCTTGAGGGTAGGAATGCGCTGCAGAGCGACCTGGACAGGCTGGATCGATGGACCAAGGCCAACTGTATGAGATTCAAGAAAGCTCAGTGCTGGATCCTGAACTTGGGACATAACCACCCCATGCAATGCTATGGGCTTGGGGAAGACCGTCTGGAAAACTGCCCAGCGGAAAAGGAGCTGGGGGTGTTGGTTGACAGCCAGCTGAATACAAGCCGGCAGTGTGCCCAGGTAGCCAAGAAGGCCAAGGGCATCCTGGCCTGCATCAGCAATAGTGTGGCCAGCAGGACTAGGGAAGTGACTGTGCCCCTGTACTCGGCTCTGGTGAGTTCACACCTTGAATCCTGTGTTCAGTTTTGGGCCCCTCACCACAAGAAGGACATTGAGGTGATGGAGCACATCCAAAGAAGGGCAACAAAGCTGGTGAAGGGTCTAGAGAACAAGTCCTATGAGGAGCAGCTGAGGGAACTGGAGTTGTTTAGTCTGGAGAAAAGGAGGCTGAGGGGAGACCTTATGACTCTCTGCAGCTACCTGAAACATGGTTGTAATTAGGTGGTTGTCAGTCTTTTTTCCCAAGTAACAAGTGATAGGATGAGAGGAAATGGCCTCAAGTTGTGTCAGGAGAGGTTTAGGTTGGATATTAGGCAAAATTTCTTCACCAAAAGGGTTGTCAAGCATTGGAACAGGATGCCTACCATGAAAGTGGTGGAGTCACCATCCCTGGAGGTATTTATAAGACATGTAGATGTGGCGCCTAGGGACACAGTGGACTCGGCAGTGTTAGGTTTACAGTTGGACTTAGTGATCTTAAGGGTCTTTTCCAACCTAAATGATTCTACGGTATGCTAATCTGAATGATAGAAACTCTTAGTTAGAAATCAAGTTCTACAGCTGTCAGTTCACTTAGTTTATTTTATTTGTTTGGAAACCTTCATGTCAACATTTTTTAAATGAGCATGACAAAGTCAATGCAATGTATTTTACCACTGGTGAAAGGTACACTATATTTTTTAATTAAATATATGGAGAAACTAAAATTAAAAAATTAGAACTGATCCTATTTTACCAACCTTGATATATCCCAACCTGAAAAGCATCTCCACTACTTGTCTTTCCTTGGCATTCATAGATCCATGATGATACCCAATGCCCCTCAGTGCCATCGTTTCCTGCAGATAACCTTTTCTCTCAAACCTAATTCGATGAAAAATCTTCCTCAAAGTCTACAAATAAAAAGAAATGTTAAGTATTAACCACAACCAGGTGCTGTTAATGGAAAAGTCTTATCTGATAAAATTCCAAACACTACAGAGAAATACAGCTGTTTATGTTCTTCAGTGACCCTGAAGCCCAAAGTACATAATTGGACGTGTACCATCAGCAGCTTCATTATGACAACAAATCCAGGCTCTTCAGTACACTTCTATATACTATCAGTTTTTTTCACCTTTGCAATAAATGCAATTACAACACTCCCAATTTTCATACCATGCAGCTAGATGCAACCAGACATGGCAAGCTTACATGTTCATGACTTTCCTACTCAAAGCGTGGCCTCATGACCATGTACTGCATGCCACTACCACAGAACAAATTCCTAAGTAGCTATGTAAAGCTGATAATCTCTTACTCTTGTTCATCATCCCTGCTTGGTACCACCACCTCATCTCATTACACAGTTAGAAGCTTTGCTTTCCCAAACTCAGAAATAACAGTGAATTAAGCTTTTCCAGTACTTTCTGAACATCACTCTGCAGCTAAGTGCTGCCTCATCCAAAGTCCAAGCTACTTCTTCACTGCCTTTACCCATCTGCAACTGTGGGAAGCAATGTTCCTTTGATGCTGGCTAACAGCAGTCCAAAAATGTCACTGGGATCTCAAGTGCCCAGGATAAGGAATCATCAAAATTTTCAAGTTTGGTCCCAATACACAGAATTTTCCTCTTTCAAGACATATCACAACAAGCAGAAAGCATTATCAAGCAATTACCAAAATTTCGAGCACCTTTTCACTGAATTAAGAGCTATATATCACAATTACTTTTTTTAATAAAAAAGTCCAGCCATGGAGAAGAAGCTATATGAACCACAGTCATGTTTCAGGAAGTTTAGACCAGAGGGGATTTCCTGGATCAAGGTGCAGGCACCCACTACTGCTAGAAACCACATCATATACATCTCTTTCATAAATTATTCCTTAATTATTTGTATACAAATATATACATTAATATTTCTGATGCACATCTGCAGATTTTCAGTGTTTTTCTCAATTTTTCTTTCCTTGGGGGGCATAAACACATTGAAGAGCATGGATAATTTTGCTTTATGGGGACTAGAACCTAAAGCCTAAAAAACCTTATTATTTACTATTTTTACAAGATATTAAGGGCTTAGAAATCTTTTGTTAAGCACAAAAAGGTGCCATATAGCCTATGCTGATGACTCAGTCAGAAAAATAGGAGTCTGAGATCTGAATCAACAAGTAACAGAACCGCACTGCTGATAGTTCATGGAAGTGAATTAATTGTAGTATACACCCCAGGACTCCTATCACAAGGACAAGTCAACATGTTTTTATTTGGCAGAATGAAAGTTGTCCATACATCTTAAAAATAAAGTAATCTAAGATTGATACCTGGAATCAAATCTAAATGGAAATATTCAGAATATTTCATTAAGTCACTGCGTAGTGTTATGAAGTACAACTGCATCACACATTATATGCGTGTTACGTATTTATGCACAAATTAATGCATTTTAGACATACAAAACCAAAACCATATTATAATTATCAGTGAAGTACTTACATCTTCATCCACTGCTTTAGGATCAGCATAAGTACACGCAGAAGGAATAACAGTTAGCCTTTTAAGTCTTTTTTCTAACTGTTGTTTTTGAGTGAAAAGTACCACCATGTTTTCCATTTTAGTGGAGCTCAACTTTTTGGTATCCCTGTATACAATATACAATTAAAAATATTATTTCTGGAATTATCATACATTTCTAGATTTTAAAATATTCTTTGGGTACTGAAAGATGCAGACTCATTTGCTTTTAAACTGTAGGCTCAAACATGTAGGCAGATCTGTTAATTTACTGATAAAACTGACAGCTTCCTTTTATCATGCCTTGTATGCAAAACAGCAAATAATTCTGCGTGAAGTAGAGAGGAGGAATTATTGTGATATACCTGTAAATACCTCACTGAGCAAATTAGTAAGCTAACAAGATTGCACAGTAGAAGAATTAAATATGAAAGAGAAACGTGATGGATTTACTGCCAATAATGGCTTAGACTGTAAGGACTTAGGACAGGACTTGAAGAAGAGAGGAAAGGGAAAACTATTTAGACACAGATTTTCAAGACACTTTAATGTCTAAATATGTGTCTAAATTCCTACTGGATTTTCAAGTTCTCACTTACTACTGTTAAAGTCAGCTAAGTTCGTTCTTTCGTGATATTATGTCCAAAGAATGCACTATAAATTGACATGATTAGGAGGGCAAAACCCTGATGCTTTATGTTCCTGACAATCCTCATAACTATAGCCATATTTCATTGCCAAATGCCTTATAAAAATACATAGTTTATGATCACAAAATCAAAAAA